GCCATCATTGGTAAAAGTGGGAGGGGAGAGGATAGCTATCCCCTCATAGAAGGGAGGAGTAGGTGAAAAACAAATCCAGCATTGTTGATAATTAGGTTCGCTGGTATTATGGATAGCCTCGAGAGAAGCATTTACCAAGGAAATAATAAGGTCAGCAGAACTAAGAGTGGCAACGATCGGCCCAATCTGTCTGTCAAGAAAGGAACTGTCCTCGAGTCAGAACAGACTGGGCTACAGTGAGCCGTTCATTAGGAGTTAAATACCTGCCCCCGCCAAGACTCTCAAGAAGGGAAAGAGTAAAGGGGGCATTAGGGCCATAATTCCTAACGGCAAAATTCAGCTTTTCAAGATGTTTAAAACGGAGTTTTTTGAAAACTGTGGGATCACTTGTAGAATCATCCTGATCACTTTCATTTTTCAATGTCTGAATTGGGCTCGTTCTCAGAAGAATCAGCCTCAGTCTCGGACTGGAGGCGGGGGGGGGGGGGGCCCGCGCGGGCGTGCAGGAGGGACGAGAAGAAGCAGGAGCAAGACAAGAAGGTGGGGGTACGGCAGGCACAGAGGAGGGGGAGAGCCGCCAGGCTCCACCCGACCACGTAGCAGGGGGAAGTGGTGGGGTTTGTTGAGAGTCGAAATCAGAAACTGCGGCTGCAGGTATCTGTGAAGAAGGAACCTGGGATCAGGTTACAGGAAAGGCTAAATGCAAGGAATCTTGTGAGGGAACAGAGGAAGAACAAAGGACCGAAAGATGCGAAATTTGTTTTTGAAGGCAGAGAATGTCCGTCAATTCACGAACTTGAAAAGAGAGGCGATCTCACATGTCAGAAAGAGAATTAGGCAAAGTGGCAGGAAAAGTTGAAAAGGCAAGCGTGGAAGAAGGAGCAGAAGGTGCCGTAGGAGGAGACCAGTCAGGGCTGTATTTTTCAAGGATGACAGCATCACCGGATTCCAGAGGCTCTGGCTCAGAGAGAGCAGCCGGGGGAGTCTGTCGAGAGAGCGGCAGAGAAGAAGAAAAATGACACTTAGCAGCAGGACAGGGGGGAAGCATCTTTTTGCAATACAGGATTGCAAAAGTGAGTGGGGGAGGGAGTCTGTAAGTCAAAAACTGCTGAAGAATTATAAGATGGAGGCTGAGAGACCAGTGGAGAGGAATCAGGAGAAGATAAATCTGGACAGAGGCGAGGCGGATCAGAAGGAGGGGGGACCTATCCAGGGGGAATATCTATGAGAGTAAAAGAAACAGAAGCCTGAGACGGAGGCCTAGAAGGCTGACGAGATGGGCAAGTAGAATTAAGCCGAGATTGTGACAAGCAAAATTCAGCAACAGACAAAAGTTGTCGCTTCCCTGTATCTTTATCTGCATCCTCAATAATATCTCTAATAATGCCCCAAAAGGAAAAGATTGTTGCAGTAACAGTCGCATCACCTTCAGTTTTAATTTTCTCATTTAATTCACGACCTACCTTCTGCCATTTTTTGGAATGGATGGTAGGACCATCAATCATAAACCAAGGACACTTCTCATCAATAAAGATAAAAAAACTTATAAGATCCTTTTTCTTAACACTTATTCCTCTCTCTCTGAGTGCATGTTTGAGGTCCTGTATGAAGGCCGCCTCCTTAGACAATGAATGGCCCTTTCTTATGGGATGGAATGAAAACGAAACTTACCCGAGGACGACAGGTCGCGGGCGACGATTGCTGTCTCACTCAATCTTGATGTCGTGGCCACTTCTCAATGAGGGTCCGTCCAGAGGGATCCATGCCTCGAGCCCCACGTCTGGGCGCCACTTGACCCGACCGGCAGGTCCTAGTTATTCGTGGGGGCGAGGAGGACCGCAACCTGAAAGAAGAACGGGCAAGAGAGGGAAAGGACTCAAGCAAACAGTTGCTTGTCAAGAGTCATGTATTTGAACATGAAATGCTTTTTTATAGTATGCTTTACAAGGGGAGGGGGTAAGAGGGGCCAGGTGGTGGAAAAGTACAGAATCTTCTCGGCCTGTGCCTTGAAACATGTCATGGTCTATACGGTACACTGCCTTGAATTATAATCTACCTGCTATTCTTCAGAAGATATGGTACACTGCTTGAATTATGGTCTCCCTGCTATACACTGCTTGCCAAGCAGGATCTTGTGGTTGCCAAGCTGCAGGGGACATTGTGCAGGTGGGGAAAGGTAGGGGGTGAGGGTGAGGGTGAGGGTCCTGGCTTCTGGCATACACATGGATAGAGTCACACATACACACATAATACACACACACGCACACAAACATGCTTGCTCACAAACAGCACTAGGGACTAAACCAAGCATTGTGAGATCTTTAAGATGTGAACGTCGTGTTTCTTTTTTAATCTCCTATGTTCTGTTGTTGGACTAAGATTCTCAACCAGCAGACAGTAGTGCATTTACTAAATGTCACCCTCTATCCAGAGACAGACAGACTTGGGCAATACTTTGCCCAATGATGGAGTCCTTTCAGTTATACAAAGCTGTGAATTTGACCAGACTGCCTTTTAATCATCTCTGAAAGGTTGTGTCTACTGTTAGCTTTGTTTTCCAGCATTAAAATCCCTGGGTCCCACAGTGGAAGGAGAGAGACACCCCAGCTCCCGAGGACCCAGAACCTGCTTTGAGATTCCTTGGGCACAGACATGCGTTATACAACATCCACATAAGCACATATACAACAATAACAATCAAAAGTTCAAAAACTAGTGTTAAACTAGCAATGAACCGTGCTTACGACCTGAGCACATATGACTTTACCCCCTCCTGGCTATAAAACCGCAATGTTTAGGAATCTCACAGAAACTTCATTTTCAGTAAACACAAAAACAGAAACAGAAACAGAAACATCCCTTAGCCTTAAGCTCCTTGTACAGGCCTGTGACTCATAGTTTTACTTATTCATTGGCATCTTAAGATTTAGCTACCATCCAGATATTTTGGCACACCCCTTTAAGTCCAGCACTACACACACACACACACACAAACACACACACAAACACACAGAACACACAGTCTCTCATAGTCACCCCCCCCCCCTTTCTTTAGAGAAAAAAGAAATAGCCAGGCGGTGGTGGCGCACGCCTTTAATCCCAGCACTTGGGAGGCAGAGGCAAGCGGATTTCTGAGTTCGAGGCCAGCCTGGTCTACAGAGTGAGTTCCAGGACAGCCAGGACTACACAGAGAAACCCTGTCTCGAAAAACAAAACAAAACAAAACAAAACAAAAAGAAAAAAGAAAAAAAATAGACTTGGTCACCAACATCTCCAGCTTTTCCTGAGGTTTTGTCTCATCAGGTTAAATGGTGGTTTAAGTGAGAACAGTCCCCATAGGCGCATTTATTTTAATACTTGGTCCCCAGTTAGTAGAATTGTTTGAGAAGATTTAAGAGGTGTGTCCTTGCTGGAGGAGGCGTGCCACTGGGGGTGGGCTTTGAGGTTTTAAAATTCTGCCCCTTTACCAGTCTACTCTCTTGCTTTTGTCCTCCCTCCTTTCCTTTCCCCTCCCTCCTTTATCCTCCCCTCCCTTCCCCCCTCAAGCTTGCAGAACAGATGTGAGTTCTTAGCTCCTGTTCCAGTACCATGTCTGTCTCCTGCCTCCATCTCCCTGCTATGAGGATGGACTCACCCTCTAGAACTATAAATACATTCTTTCTTCTATGAGCTACCCTGGTCATGGTGTCTTAGCACAGTAATTAAACATAACGAAGAGAGGTTATCATCCTTTCCAGGACACCTCCAGAGCCATCTTCAAAAAAGTGGGAAAGGAAGAAAACAAAACAACAGTTTCTAGCAACCCTTTGCGAGGCAGAGTCCAGTTGACCAGAACCACATGAAGAGCTGATACTAAGACACTCAAGTGTGGCCCTCCTCAGACCTGTCTTGTTCTCTCCTGAGCCTTTTAAAATGAATGTCCCCTCCTACAAGTTTACCCCCTTGTTTAAATCTCTGTAAAAGTCCTTATCTCAGTTGGGAGAGTACTTACCTAGCATGCACAAAACCCTGGGTTTGATATTCATTCCCACAACCCCAGCACTCAGAGGTGGAGGCAGGAAGACCGGAAGTCCAAGCTCATCCTTGGTTGCATAGCAAAGCTTGAGGTTGTCCTGGGCTAGGAGAAACCACATCTCAAAAACAATACAATACAATTAAGGTTGTGACAGCAAGATGTTTTAGCAGGAAAAGGCAAGTGACACCCAATCCTCATGACCTAACTTAGACCCCAGAGAATGAACTCTCAGAAGTTGTCCCCTGACCTTCACACAGGCACTGTGTCTCAGGCATTTGAATACTTAGTCCTGTCTTAGGGTTTCTATTCCTGCACAAAACATCAGGACCAAGAAGCAAGTTGTGGAGGAAAGGGTTTATTCAACTTACACTTCCACATCACTGTTCATCACCAAAGCAAGTCAGGACTGGAACTCAAGCAGGGCAGGAAGCAGGAGCTGATGCAGAGGCCATGGAGGGATGTTACTTACTGGCTTGCTTCCCCTGGCTTGCTCAGCTTGCTTTCTTATAGAACCCAGGACCACCAGTCCAGGGATGGCACCACCCACAATGGGGCCTCCCACTCTTGATCACTAATTGAGAAAATGCCTTACAGCTGGATCTCATGGAGGCATTTCCTCAAGGGAGGCTCCTTTCTCTGTGATAACTGCAGCTTGTGTCAAGTTGACACACAGAACCAGCCAGTACTGTTCACATTTGGTGTCTGCTTAGGGAGGATTAGAAGATGTGGCCTTATGACTGGTGTGGTGACACACATCTTTAACCTCAGCACTCAGGAGCAGAAGTAGACAGATCTCTGTCAGTTCCAGGATCTGCTGTCTGTGAAGGTGGCAAAGAAATATCAATCCTGCTGTGGCTGCCCCAAAGGCTAGGACTCCCAAAGACAAGGACCTCTAGCCCATCCTTTAAGGAGCCTTCCGGCCAGTTTGAGTCCTGCTAGAAACTTCTCTCCATAAAGAGGCTGTACACAAGTAGTAACATTAATATTAACATAAAGAAATTGTTGGTTTATTAGAATTAGCAGCAGTTTTTCCAGTAGTCTTGGTGGGAGCTATCACCAGTCAAATCAAGCTGCTTATCCCCAATGACATCCAAATTGGGTGGTTCGCCACAATGTTCCAGTAGCTCTCCACTTGGGTGAGGCTGCGTAGTGACAGGATGAGGCTGCGTAGTGACAGGGCGCACACAACGCTCAGGAATCCAAACAGGACTTTCAGCATCTTTAGGAAAAACACAAACAGAACCTCTCACACTGACTAATACAGGGTCAGGGCCTTTCCATATACCTGATGACAATTCTTTCCATTTCACTAAGCCCAGTGCCTTCTGGGATCGTTTCCAATGTCTGTCTGCTGCAGACTGTGGAGAGCTGCATAGGGCCGCGCCCTTAAGATGGCGCCGGTCTCTGCCTTCTACCACCTGTTGGTGAGTGCTCTGAGGAGTAAACAAGTCCTTATTTGGCTGTGGTTAGTGATCTGGCTTGCTTTCGTGTATATGGGCCTATCTGCTGTTGCCACGTGACAGATGGGGGTAGGCTATTCCTAGAGTACTTAAGCCTGGGAGAGGCTTCCCCCAGGGTCATCAGTCAGAAAGAAGCTTATTCAAGGTCCTGAATAAACTGCTTGGAGAAGATCTCGTGTGTTGTGTCATCCTTGCTGGACAAGGGTGGGCACGACAGCAGACAATGCATCCTTATCCACTAATAAAAAATTTTAAATATATAAAATAAAGGATAATCTTGCATGAGGTGAGGTAAACTCCTCCCTTTTTGTTTTTTCAAGATAATTTTTTAAGGTTAAATGTGCTCTTTCCACTATAGCCTGGCCTTGTGGATTATAAGGAACCCCGGTCTTATGGGTAATATTATACTCATCACAAAATTTATTAAAGGACACACTACCATAGGCTGGGCCATTATCAGCCTTCATTTGGTGAGGAACCCCAAAATAGGCAAATGTTTGTAGGCAATGGTTCTTAACATCTTTTATTTTTTCCCCACTGTGAGCCGAAGCAAAAATCATACCAGAAAAGGTATCAACGGTAACATGGACAAAGTGTAATTTCCCAAACGAGGGAACATGTGTAACATCCATTTGCCAAATATCATTGGGTGCAAGACCTTGGGGATTCACTCCCAAATTAGGGGAAGAGATAAACTGAGCACAGTGAGGGCAGTGAGTAATGATTTGAACAGCCTGTTCTCTTGGTAATGTCACAATGAAATTTTAAGGAATTTGCATTAAGATGAAATTTATTATGCATAGCAACAGCTTTATCATAATTAGTGACTAAATTTAAGGCAAGCAAAATTTGTTTGGTGTGAAAATCAGCCTCACTATTACCTTGGGCCAAGGGGCCTAGCAATAATGAATGTCCCTGAATATGACCCACAAACACAAGCAAAGTTCGCTGCCATAAAAGAGCTTGCACCTGCAATAGGCAAGAACAAATTGAAGACACAGGTGTCACATAAGAAGCAGTCTCTAAGGGTTCCATAATTTGAGAAACATATACACTATCAGTATATATGTTGCAAGTTTCATCCGAGAACAAAGATAGTGCCAATTGTACGGCCTTTAGCTCTGGTAATTATGCAGAGCAATTGGTCATCTGTAAGGTCTCAACTCTACCTTGGGAAACAACTGCAACCCTGCCATTGGAGGATCCATCAGTAAATACTAGGCGAGCCTAATTCAAGGGCTGATTGGAAATAATTTTTGGAAAAACCACTGGATGGAACTTAAACAACTGACACAACTTATTATCTGGATAATGATTATCAAATTGACTGTTAATGGTACAAACAAACAAGGCCCAATCAACACAATTTTGAGATAAAATTTGGATCTGATCCTTATTATAAGGGGTAATAAACATGTCTGGTTCTTTACCAAATGTTTGTAGGCTTATTTTATGGGCTTTAAATAACAAGGAAACCACTGCCTGTGGGTAAGACAAAACAACCTTGGAGGGTGAAGCTTGTAAGTGAACCCATAAAATAGGGCCCTCCTGCCAAATGGCACCCGTTGGGGAATGTTTTGATGCAAAACCCACAAATAACAGTTTCCTTGAATAGTCTACATAATTTAAATGAGCTTGTTCTAGAGCTTCCTGTACCATTTTCAAGCATTCTCTGGCCTCTTCATTTAATTGTCTGGGGGAAGTGGGTGATACATCTCCCTTAAGAATCTCAAAGAGGGGTTTTAACTGTCCTGTGCTTAATTGTAAGGAAGGTCTTAGCCAAATTTATGTCTCCTAACAATGTTTGATAATCATTTAAAGTTTTCAGAGTATCTATTCTAATCTGTAACTTCTGAGGACAAATCACCTTTTGTAATAATTCATGTCCTAAATACTGATATGGAAAATTCTTTTGAACCTTCTCGGGGGCAATAACCAACCCAATGGCTTGCAAGTCATTTTGCAGTTCAGCATAGGCCTCATAAAGCTCTTTTTCTTCCCTAGCTCCAAGTAGAGTATCATCCATAAAATGAATTATATACATGTACGGATGTTTTCTCCTTAATGGTTGAAGAGCAGTTGCCACATAGACTTGACACATGGTGGGACAATTAGCCATCCCTTGGGGTAGCACCACCCAATGATATCTATGGGATGGTTCCTTAAAGTTGACTGAGGGAATACTAAATGCAAAGCGTTCGCAATCCTGAGGATGCAAGGGTATGGTAAAGAAACAATCCTTCAAATCTATCGCTAACATGTGCCAATTTTTTGGAATAGCAACTGGTGTGGGCAATCCAAGTTGTGTAGCCCCCATTGGCATCATAGTTTTATTAATTTCCCTTAAATCTTGTAATAATCTCCATTTTCTTGATTTTTTCTTAACAACAAATATAGGAGTATTCCAGGGGGATGTAGATGGGACAATATGTCTGGCCAAAAGTTGTTCTTGTACCAATAAATGAGCTGCCTCCAATTTTTCCTTAGATAAGGGCCACTGTTCAATCCACACGGGCTCGTTGGACTTCCATGTGATTGGTAGTGGTTCAGGAGGCTCCACAGTGACCCTTAATATAAATTTCCTGTTCCAGTTTTGTCTTTATGGTGTCTGACTATCTGACATCCTTCGGCAACACTATGGGGTCTTCCTTGTAAATACTTCCCTAATCCCTTCCCAGGAATATATCCTTGCTTTTTCATCATGCCCTGAACTGGCTGGGTTGTGAGAACAGCTCCCATGTCGTTAAGTACATCTCGACCCCATAAATTAATGGGGAGATGTTCCAAGACAAATGGTTGAAACCATCCTTCATGTCCTTCCTCATCTTGCCATTTTAAGAACTTACTACTCTTGAGGGGTGCAGCAGCTGTCCCCACGCCTTGTAAGGTGGAAGAGGACCTATCCGGGCCAGCTACTAGGCCAAGATGTTTTTGATATCACAGTAGTATCTGCACCAGTATCCAGAATTCCTTTCATAGGCTTTCCATCCACCCAAAGGGTAAGGGTAGGGCGGTCCTCGAGGGTAGAAACTCAGAAGGCAGCAGTCCCTGTGGTCCCAAATCCTTCATCTCCTCTAGCATCCTTAATTGCAGCATGTTTAGTGGGTAACTGCAGCAAGAGACCTAGCTGAGCAACTCTATCTCCCTGGGGAATAACTACAACTCCCCTATCCACAGGAACCATAATTTTAATTTCCCCAGTAAAATCTGAGTCTATTACTCCTGGAAGGATCCTAATTCCCTTCAACAAGGCACTGCTTCATCCTAGCAGAAGGCCTACGCTCCCTGAAGGGATGGGGCCGTACACTCCAGTACCTAATGCCTGAGGGCCCATTTGAGGTGTCAATACTGCTCTGGCGGAGGAATGGAGGTCCAATCCTGCACTTCCTGGGGCACCTCTGACAAGGTCTTTGACAGAAAGGGGTTGGTTTGAGGCACAAACCGAACTGGAGTAGGGGTAATACTGGTGTTCATGGCTCCGTACACTTTGGTTTGTGGGCCCTGGAGCGGGCCCCGCTGTCTGTTTCCCGAAGTCGGGAGAGGGCGGCCATCAACATCTGATTTTGACCTGCATTCATTACTCCAATGGTGGCCTCTTCGGCATCGAGGACACAGGCCAGGACCTGTAATCCCCTCGTTCCCTGGACAATCCCTCTTAAAATGTCCAACTTGGCCACATCCATAGCAAGTTTTATTCTTGCTAGATCTCTTCTGCACAGCAGCTGCGAGTACTTGTCCCATAATAAAATTTCCATCAAATTCCTTGCAAACTCTAATATAATCATCTAAGGTTTTTGATCTATGCGGTCTAATTGCTTCTTTACACCATTTCTTAGCATTTTCGAAACCTAACTGTTTTACTATGGGCATGGTGGTATCAGCATCCCCAAACAATTTTTCTGCTAGCTGGAGTAGTTTATTTACAAATTCTTCAAAGGGCTTGGAGGGTCCCTGGACCACCTTGGATAGTTGACCTCCAGCCGCCTTATTAGGCAAGGCCTTCCAGGCTCTAACGGCCACAGTGGCAATTTGGGCATAAACGGCAGGATCGTAATGAGTCTGCTGATGGAGAGCAGACCCTTTCCCTTTCGGACCTTACATTTCTTTAATCTTTCATTTAAATAAGCTATTTCCTTTTCTGAAGTTTCTTCCTCATCCTCAGAGCTGGAGCTATCCTCCACCTCATACAAGGATTCCTTACCTGCATCATCCTGTGTCAATACACGTAGAAAGGAACTCACAATTCCATGGCACGATCAAAGCCGACACTCTCGTAGCGCCACTTCTCCAATACATTCCACTCTCTGAACCAGTCCAGCCAGCTCCTTCCAGGAACGTCCTGTAGGTTCTCCTCTCTTTCCTGATCTCGGTGGAACCTCCACTTGACAGCGCCGGCGCTGCCAGCGGTACCGAGCTCGGCAGTAGGCCTGGGGGATTAAAGAAATACTCAGACTCGGGTCATCCATTGTGAGAGAACGCCAATGCCTTTACTGAGCAGGTTCAATATATATACACCAAGCCAGGGAAGGAAAAATACAAACTCAGGAAAAAACAGGAACTCAACTAGGGGGCAATAGGATGTCAAGAGTAAATTCCCTTCCTGGGGCACCATGCCTTAGTCAGGATGTTTTGATCCTAGAGGAACCGCAGAATGTTACTTAGTAGACAGCAACATACGGAAAGGCTCGGCCAGGGCATAGCAGCCCTTTGGGGTCCTACAGTTAAGGTCATTTGCTGCTCATGTGAACAGCTCACAGCTCCCTGTAACTCTAGTCCTAGGGGACCCATGCTTTTGTCTCTGGCTCTGCAGGCACCAGGCAATCGAACTCACACAGACACATACACACGCACACAAATATACAAAACTGACAACATGATAATTAGGAGGCAGGCACAGTAACACACAACTTTAATCCCAGCACTTGGGAGGCAGAGGCAGATGGATCTCTGTGAGTTTGGGGCCAGCCTGGTCTACATATCGACATATAGAGCTCCAGGATACATAGGGCTACAGAGTGAGACCCTGTCACAAAAGATCAAAAAAACAAATAAAAACTCACCAATAGCTGGCTCTCATTCTCACAGCCACTGTGGTTCACTGAGCTCCATAGAGACAGCCGGGGTGGGGGTGGGGGTAAGAGCCGGTCGGGCACTGGGTGACCCTGTGTCTTATGGAGGAAAATCCACTGAACAAGGCCAAAGCAGCCAAGAGACAAAATGTCCTCATAGGAATCTTTGTGCAAACTTGCCGGGTGGAGAAGAGGCGACACCTGGATGTTTCTGCCAGCGCCTCAGCTCCTCAGGTTCTCACTGAGCTCAGACAGGCGGGGACTATGTTTGCCGAAGAAAAGGAGAAATCTGAAGACACAAGGCTCATTATGAAAGAGAAACGAAGACCTACATTGTAGCAAAGAGGAGACCAAGAAGTTGAAGGATCCAAGGCCCTGTGAAAGGGGCCTGCCAGGCTGAAGGGAAAATAGGAAAGGAAACGCTGCCTACAGAACCAACCTGAGGCAGAGGGAAAGGGGGTGGTCACCACTGAAAGGAGCAAGAGAAGGAGGAAAGGGGAAGACAAGGAGGAGGAGGAAGAGGGTCAGGAAGCTCAGGAAGAGGAGGAAGCCGAAGCTGCTGCTGCTTCTGGTGGTGGTGGTGATGATGTTGGTTCTAGCACAGCTTTTTCCTTGTCTACAAAGCATTTAAGTCCCCTGTACACAACTCACTCCTTTTAAACAATAGAAATGCAATGTAAGGCCATGGAAGGTTTTTTGTTGTTTGTTTTGTTTTGTTTCATTTTGTTTTTAAACTACACAGAGTCTTTTTTGTATGTAGTTCCTACACGACCAAATGTCTTCAGACAGTCCTGTCCTGGTGGTATTTCAACAGCCACTAACTTTGCCTAGTAGAATCTGGGGGGTTGTAAATTGGTATAGAAATTTAAAGCAGTTTAGTTTTCCCCATCTTCAGTTGTGTCTGATGCAGTTTCATCTGAGGATTCGTGCTGTCCTATCAGCTGAATAACCATTCTGTAATGAAAAAGAAATCCAAGAAAAGTGTGCAACTGTTTTATTGACATTCTGAATGCTTCTGAGTAAATACGTTTTTTTAATTAAAAAAATAATGAAGGTGGAAAAATTAAAACATTCAACATCCTCCTCTGGCCTCTACACATGTATATATATGGCCCTGCACACCCATGTGTGCACACACACATATGGAACAGTTGTTACAATATTCCTATTTGATTGGTTGTATTGTTTGTTTGTATGAGACAGGTTGCACTCTTCTATAGTCCTGAGAGAAGTGTTGTAGAACTCACTGTGTAGACCAGGCTGGCCTTGAACTCATAAAATCTGCCTGCCTTTGACTGGACAGTGCTGGGATTAAGCTATGTGTCACCAGGCCAGGCTATTCTATTTGTAACATATGTGAAGGGTAGATAAAATAAGAGTAGACTTTAAATACATACAAACCTCTTCCTGGATTAGGGAATCAGTGACAGAGTACTTCCCTGGCATGTCTGAGGCCCTGAGCTCAGTCCTCAGTACCTCTACTTCCAGGTATAAGAAGAAAAACCAGGCCAGGCGGTGGTGGTGCACGCCTTTAATCCCATCACTTGGGAGGCAGAGGCAGCCAGATTTCTGAGTTCGAGAGTTCGAGGCTAGCCTGGTCTACAGAGTGAGTTCCAGGACACCCAGGGCTACACAGAGAAATCCTGTCTCAAAAAAAAAAAAAAAGAAAGAAAGAAAGAAAGAAAAAAGGAAAAAAAAGAAAAACCAGAAGAACCCGGCTCAGCCAGATCTCACTACACCTATTTCAGGATATGAGTTTTCCCCTTCTGGAAGCTGCTGCCACCATGTGCTTTTGCTTTCTTCCTTCCTTTCTTTCTTCTTTTCTTTCTTCCTTTCTTTCTTCCTTTCCTTCTCTTTCTCTCTTTCTTTTTTTTCATCTTACAGTGCATTATGAATGGTAGTCAGGACAGGAAATCAAACATGAACTTGGAGGCAGGCACCAAAGAAGAGGTCACGAAAGAATAGAATTACTATCTCGCACAGACTGATTTCTTATTCCAGCTGTTCAGGGATGGCACTTGCCAGTCAAGAAAATACTCGACGATCTTTGGCCTACCGCCATGCATATTATCAGATGACTCTATGCTTGCCCTCAGGGCCACCTCCTCCGGAAACTTTCTTGATCTGACTCGCTGAAGTATCTGAGTATATTAGTTTCCTAGATCTTCTAGTTATGTCTGTTCCCACTATCATTCACACATCAAAAGCATCCAGTTTTACATAGAATCACTTAGATACTTCTTAACTTGGTTACGGCCTGTAAGACCACACATGAGAAAACATGGAAGCAAACAATTTAAAAGTCATTTATCGTAGTTGTGAATTTATGAGTCAAAAAGCAGTGCAGCTGCCCTGCCATCTCAGCGCTTGAGAAGATGCAGAGGGCTCAAGAGAATTCAAGCTCAGCTGGCGCTAAAGAGCGAGACCCAGAACAAACCTCAACCAAAAAGACGGGAGCTTGAAGCTGCTTTATAAAACCCCTCAGACTCCAAACGGGACTGTTCCGAGCACTTTTATCTAAATTGGTGGAGTTACATAATAAGCAAGTGTAATAAGAAAGACGGTTGGGGTTTTAAACTGATGAATAGCTCAAAACAGTGACTTAGCATAGACCCTTCTGATGAATTATTAACTTATTAAAGGCTCAGTTTACAATGGGAACTGATAAACTGTCGGGCCAGGCTTGGCGAGGTTTCCTTTCACTTCCTGTATACAAAAACAGGTTTGGGGATGGGGTGTGGTGAGGAGAGAAGGGAAGAATAAATGTGTGATATAAAGAGCCCTGGCTGCCATCTTCCATGGTGCAGCTGACTCCAGGAGAGTGTTTGCATTCTGTCTAAACTCCACCTCCACAGTAACCTGGCAACAGCCAGGTAGGCCTGCCCACTATAAAAGGGGCTGCTTCCCGCCTCCTGTCTCTCTTGCTTCCGCCTCCAACTTCTCTCTGTCCCAGTGCCCCTCCCTCCTTCTGTTCTGCCTCTCTCCACGTGGTCATGGCCAGCCTCTGCTCCTGTCTCTCTCTGCCTCTACTACCCTCCCGTCTCCCCTCTTCATGCCCTGAATAAACTCTATTCTATGCTATACCGGTGTGTGACTGATCACTCAGGGGGAAAAGATGCCTCTGCATGGGCCCGCTGAGACATCCCCTTCCCCCATACCTCTCCACACAACCACTGAACGTACTCTTTATCTTCTTATAAACATTTCAGTGAGGACTTCTCCTAAAGAAAGCTTGGGTGGGTGGCGTGGAAGTACACACTGTGCACTACCAACTGTGGCAGGAAACTGGCTGCAGCCTCCAGACCCAGACAAAGCCAGGCAGGACCAGGGTCAAGGATCAGGCTGCAACCCTCCTAAGAGATGCAGGGGAACAGTCTTGAGCCAGTGAGACGGGAGCTGCTCTGCCAACTTCTGCTGGCCGGCCGTTGGGGGTAGGGTGGGGGTGGGGTAGGGTGGGGGTGGGGCAGGGTGGGAGTCGGGGCCCTACCCGGTTCTGCGATTTTGTTCTCCCCAACCCCCACTCAGCCAGCACATCCTTTCTCTCTGATTGGCCAGGAGTGGAGCCTGCGCCCTGCTTCTCCAGGGGGACACCCAGGGCCTGGCCCTTTCTCCTCTACTCGCAAAGATGGCGCTCGCCATCCTGGCTCTGCGGCTGGTGGTCTACATCCTGGCGCTTCCCATGTTTCTGCTGAACTTTCTGGGCGTGTGGAGCTGGGTGTGCAAAAAGTGGTTTCCCTACTTACTGAAACGCTTAACGGTGATGTACAACACGGAGATGGCGAGCCGAAAGCAGGAGCTCTTCAGCAACCTGCAGGAGTTCGCGGGCCCCTCGGGGAAGCTGTCGCTGCTGGAGGTGGGCTGTGGCACCGGGGCCAACTTCAAGTTCTATCCCCCCGGATGCAGGGTCATTTGTATCGACCCCAACCCCAACTTCGAGAAGTTTCTGTTCAATAGCGTCGCAGAGAACAGGCATCTGCAGTTCGAGCGCTTCGTGGTGGCGGCCGGGGAGAACATGCACCAGGTGGCCGATGGCTCTGTGGACGTGGTGATCTGCACCCTGGTGCTGTGCTCGGTGAACAACCAAGAAAAGATTCTGCGCGAGGTGCGCCGAGTGCTGAGGCCGGTGAGTGACAAGTGTGAAGGCTGGCTAGCTGCAGTTATCATGAGCGAGGGTGGTCCTATCAGTTTCGGGTGGATTCTAAAGATTTGTTTATTTTATGTGAGTACACTGTAGCTGTCTTCAGACACACCAGAAGAGGGAGTCAGATCCCATCACAGATGATTGTGAGCCACCATGTGGTTGCTTGGAATTAAAACTCAGGGCCTCTGGAAGAGCAGTCAGTGCTCTTATCAGGTGGATTCTAAAATAAAAAACAAAGGTCTCCAGAAGAATTTTGCAAAAGAAAAAGAGCCTCAGTGAACTAAGAGAGTAAGGGCTGACAGATCCGAATACAGAAAGTTCTAAACTGCTGCCCAGGAAAGAACCTGTAGATAGTTCAGATGTCAAACTTGATAACAAGCTCCTAGGAACAGCTGAGGGGTCATACCACTCATGCAAACAAACAACCTTACAAGTCCTGGCACTGGGAGGCAGAGGCAGGTAGATCTCTAGAAGTTTGAGGCCAGCCTGGTCTACAGAGTGAGGGCCAAGCCAGCCAGCAAGGGACAGAGACCATGTCCCCAAAACAAACAAAATTAACAGGTCACTAAGGATATTGGTTTGTGTTTTAAAACAGGTCAGAGAAGAAGATGAGCAACTGGGTAGGAACTGGAACAGAAATTAAAGCAGAGTATCCTGAGACAGACTATGACGTGGTGTTTGTTTATGACAGTGTCAGAGACTCAGGGTCTATAGTACAAAAGGGGGGGGGGTGTCTAGGAAAAGCCTCCTCATACAGGAAGGGGTTTGGAAGGCTCATTTAGTAACATCAAAATGTCAACTAAATGTACTTTCTCTATCAGAAATTCATCTGATAGAGAAATTCTACAGCTACACATATATAAATCCCCGAATATCTCAAGGACGCTCACTAAAGTTGCGTTTGCAGACTGCAAACTGGAAAGAGACTGTGTGTGGATGGGAGCTTGTCACAGTCAGGAACTCTGAAACTATTACAAAGATCAAGAGCTGGGTGTGGCGAACCACACATACCAACCCACTGATGGTCTCAGTGTTTCAGAGGGTGAGAAGGATGGAAAGGCAAGCCTTGGCTATGTAGCAGATCAAGGCCAGCCTGAATTATATGGTAAAATTCTATCAAACAGCAAAACAAATGAAAACTTAAAAAACAACAACAACAACAAAAAAATCTCTAACCAACAGAAACCAACAAAAACTTCAAGAAGACTGGTCTGTCCAGGATAGAAAAGAGAAAAGTGCTCAAGAAATAATGTTAACATGTTCAGGCAAAAGGTAGTAACAGGTTTACTGCCAGGGAACTGGACTTGGGTATAGCCAAGAACAACAGTCATTTTGTGCCTTTCTAAATGTCTGAAAAAATTCTTTGTCCTTGTGAAAGTCAGGTTAAATGGGTTTGATTTGAACAAAGCTGAATTTGAAGTATGACAACCTTAACGTTTCAGCTTATTGATTTCAGAAGATGTAGGGATGTTCTGTGACACGGACACATATTCATACTTACACACACTCATGCATACACACACACATACACTCACACTCTCACATACATGCACAGATACAAACACTCATGCATGCACACACTCACACACATATACTTACATATACACACACTCATGCATGCACACATACACACCTACACACACTCATATAGTCTCTTACACAATCTCTCACATATTCACAAACATACACAGTCATGCATGCACACATACACACTTGTACTTACACACACACACACACACACACACACACACACACACACCCTTTATAGTCTCTTGGGAAGAAAGCTTCAGAGGCATCCAAGGCTTAGCATTGACTCTCTGGTGCAATGACACACCAGTTATTAAACTAGTAGGTAAAGATCTTTAGCCTGACCTGGTGTGAACACACCCATAGCCACACCTGGAGTGGGGCTCACACCCAGAGTTTTGGTGCTGGGAAAGGGGAGCAAACAGGAGGAGCCTCAAGTCTGAGTCTAGCCTGGGCTCTACAAAAGACCCCTTTCTTTAAAACACAAACAATAAAGCAGACTAAAATCAAGGAAGGGACAGATTCTTGGGGCCAAACCCTGGGTCCCTCCATCCTTGGCCTGGCAACTGGGGTTTTACCAGGTGCTTTTTTAAGCTGTTGCTCCTCTGTGCAAGGCAGATGACGCCCAGGTTGTCTCCCTTAGCCTCCTTTGCTTTTCATTTTTATTAGGAAATTCTGTTCTCTATTCCTAAACGCATGTCTTAATTTATCTGTTTAGTTTGTGGTTTTTTTGTTTGTTTGTTTTGTTTTGTTTTTGTTTTTTTTCGAGACAGGGCTTCTCTGTGTAGCCCAGGCTGTCCTGGAACTCACTCTGTAGACCAGGCTGGCCTCAAACTCAGAAATCTGCCTGTCTCTGCCTCCCAAGTGCTGGTATTAAAGGCGTGCGCCACCACTGCCCGGCTTTCTACTTTTTTTCTTGTTTAGTTTTTGTTAACTGCATTTCTAACCTCTGAATTCTGACTCAAAACTCTCTGCCTTTGGGTTGCGAGGAATACAGTAGCTTGAAAAGGGGATTTACAAAAGGGGTATGGGTTTCTTCTTTATTAGAAAATGCCGGAGGCTGTTTAATAATTTATAGTAGTAATAGTATCTGCATGACCCATGTGGGCCGCAGATGCAAGTTAGATTGATTCCTCTTAAGGGTGACAGCACTCACCATTGCCAACTCAACAAAAGCTAGTGACAGAATGCTGCCCTGAATTCAGAACTTGTTGGAGACTTAAGGCCTCCATGACGTCATTTGCATATTAATGAAATAATACAATCTTTAAAACAACTCAGTTCAGTCTAGGAAGTGACTCCTGTAGACTCCTCCTCTCCAACACACAGCTCTGGTATCTACAGAGGTTTGCAGCCAGTGCCTGGGAACAGTTTGTTAGTGAATTAAAAGGTTGGTTTTCTTTCTTTCTTGGTCGGTTTTCTTTCTTTCTTCCTTTCTTTCTTTCTTCCTTTCTTTCTTTCTTTCTTTTTCTTTCTTTTTCTTTTAAAGATTCAATGCCAGGAGCCATCAAAGAGAAGCCAAAACCTAGGAGGTGATCTTCCTGAGATGGTACTGCCATGGACTGTCAAAGTTAATGATGTATTTGTTTCTACACAAGGCCCAGGAAAAATTGATTTTAGGAAAGATTCCTGCTATTAATATGCTTTTCCTGTTGTTGTTGTTGTTGTTGTTGTTATTAAATATATATGACAGTCACTAGGTATTAGCTCACCCTTTGGAGCAGATCTCTGCAGAACAATGGAGACGTACTGTCTTGTAGTGATGCTATATAGACAAACTGATGACTTCTTAAGTCTTAATGACGATCCTATAAGAATTCCTAAAATTGCCAGGCAGTGGTGGCGCACGCCTTTAATCCCAGTGTGATTCTCTTCTGGTTGAGTAGAAGTTTATTGCTCTACATCTCCCATAGCCTAGCAAGCAAGTTACAGCTTGCAGTCAGCTACAGTAGCAAAGCGACTTAAGATAGGTAAATATTTCATTATTAAACAGCAACCCTAAATATCTCATAAGACCAAGTCTTAATCTCAACGATGCTCTTCCCCCTCTGCTGCCTCAAGAACAACCAACAAGAAAGAACAGCAGGGCTGACCCCTGGCAGTTCAGAGTAGAGCCAGGAGTGGTGGTGCACACCTGTAAAGCCAGCACTAGGGATGTGGAGGCAGGAGGATCTAGAGCTCAAAAGCAGCTGGCTACATAGTTGAGTTTGCCAAGTGGTGAGTTCCAGACCAACCTGGGTGATGTTGTGAAACTGTTTCAAAAGACAAGAAGCAACAGTAACAAAGATAAAAGAGGCAGGAGGTAGACTTGTTAGCTCAGTCAGGCACCTGCGGTCAGTGGTGAGGGCATAGTGGACATAGTGTGCTCTCTCTCACTCTCTCTCTTCCTCTTGATATCTGAGAAAAAGGTCTTATGTAGCCTAAGCTGGATGTCTACTCCCACTTTGCATGCCTTCTACCTCCTCAGCCCTGGTGCTCAACCTCAGAAGAGGCCTCCTATAGCGCCACAGGCCTAGAAGAGAGTGTACTGGTTGACCTTGATCCTCCTGCTGACAGCCCTAGAACTAGGATTACAGTCGAGACTCACCACACCAAGCTCATAGAATTCCTTACTCCTAATCAGAGTAAGGAAAAGGGCAGTTATTTCCATGGGCAAAATAGTAATGGATATCAACAGACCTAAAGGAAGACAAAACAAACTTTCTAGTAAAAAATTTTATATTTATTAAGGATATTAAAGGTGTATGATTTTTATATGAGTGTTCATGTGTGTGAGTGAACATGTGTGGAGTTTGTGGGGAGGTCAAAGGACAACAGCAGACATGTCACTTCTCAGGAGCGGCTCCTACTCTTGACACAGAATCGCTTACTGGCTGGAACTCACCATGTTGGCCAGGCTGACTAGCCAAAGGGTGTCAGAGATCGACCTGTCTCTGCCTCTCCTGTACTGCAATTAGTGTGTTAGTGTACGTGTGTCTGTGCACACATGTGTGTTTAAAGCCGTTGATGCCAACCTGGGCTACAATAGCAAGACCTTTTGTCAAAAACACTGTCAGAGGAGGAGCCAGGAAGTGGCAACCTGCCAGTCCTTTATTGGAAATGGGCACTGTCAGAGCCATTGCTAGTGATAGTGTAAATGTGATCCAATTTTTTCAAAGGACAATCTGAAAACTTCTACCAAGGTGTTTTTTGTTTTTTTGTTTTTTGTTGTTGTTGGTTTTTTTTTTTTTTTTTTTGGTTTTCCGAGACAGGGTTTCTCACTCTGTAGACCATGAACTCACTCTGTAGACCATGCTGGCCTAAAACTCAGAAATCCACCTACCTCTGTCTCCCAAGTGCTGGGATTAAAGGCGTGCGCCACCACCGCCCGGCAACATCCACCAGTCTTGAAAGCACCTGTAATTATTGCCAAATAGATGCATTGTTACAAAGTGAGCCTGAATCACTAGTGGGTGGTCCCTTTTAAAACACCTTGGTACGCTGGGTGGTGGCACACGCCTTTAATCCCAGCACTTGAGAGGCAGAGGCAGGTGGATTTCTGAGTTTGAGGCCAGCCTGGTCTACAGAGTGAGTTCCAGGACAGCCCGGGCTATAAAGAGAAATCCTGTCTCGAAAAACCAAAAAAAAAAAAAAAGAAAGAAAAGACTGGTGGATGTTAATGCCTGTTACAGTGGGACACTCGGAGGAGCCTAGCTGGTGTGAAGTGAAGATGGTTACAAACAGTGTGTTATAGACTTGATTTTAGAAAAAATTGCAAGTTTACATATCATAGGATAGTGGCTGGTTTTCCTTTTGTTCTGACTTTTTTTTCTGAAAAAGGGATTTATGTGTCTGTTCATGCCTGCATGAGCTGTATGCACCATGTATGTGCCAGTCCCACGGAGGTCAGAGAACACTGGATCCCTGGAACTGGAATTATGGGTGGTTATCAACTATCTCTCCAATCCTTTTTTGTTTCTACTTTAAGTCAGGATCTCATATAGCCCTAACAGGCCTCAAACTCACTGTGCTGATGAAAATTACTTTAAATTTATCCTCCTGCCTCGACCTCTCAAGTTCTAGCATTGCAGACACATACGATAATGATTTGGTGTGAAAACATCTCTGTGTTTTCCAAACTTCCTTTTTTTGTTTTTGTTTTTGTTTTTTTGAGACAGGGTTTCTCTGTGTAGCCCTGGCTGTCTTGGAACTCACTCTGTAGACCAGGCTGGCCTCGAACTCAGAAATCCGCCTGCCTCTGCTTCCCAAGTACTAGGATTAAAGGCGTGCGCCACCACCGCCCAGCGAGGCATTTTGTAAAGTAAAATTCTCAAAGCCAGTATCTTTAAAATGTGTGTGTGTGTTTCTTCTCAGGGAGGGGCCTTTTACTTCATGGAGCACGTGTCGGATGAACCATCCACCTGGAATTACTTCTGGCAACAGGTCCTGGATCCTGTCTGGTTCCTTCTTTTTGATGGATGCAATCTAACAAGAGAGAGCTGGAAGGCCGTAGAGCAGGCCGGCTTCTCAAAGCTGAAGCTACAGCACATCCAGGCACCACTATCCTGGACTTTGGTGCGGCCCCACATCTACGGCTATGCTGTGAAATAGTGTGAGGTGGTGGGAGAGATCTGCTCTGCTCCACCAACGGTTCGAGGCTTCCGCTTAGATGTAAAATTCTAACTGGGAGAGGTAAAAATCAAGTTGATCCCTACAGGTTTCTGCTTAGCCATTTTCTATATTGTCTCCCACCGAATAAAACCAAATCAGAGCAGCTTTGAACTCTCCCTCCAAAGGGACCAAAGGTCTCTCATAGGCCTTTGATCAGGAAGCAGTGGAGGAAACTTTACAGTTTGCCAACAGAATAAATAAATCCCAGTGGAGAGAAAGTTCACAGCTGACTAACATAGGAACTCCACCCCTCCCCACCCCCATCCCTTTAAAAATGAATCGGAACCCACTTGCTATGCTGGTGTCACTAGTCTGCTTTTGCTACCACCGCCTGTGCTTCCTTTGGCTCAGGGTTCTGCCAATCCTGCTGCACTGTCCTGCACTCCACAGCTTTTATAAGTGCACCTGACACATCAGCGTCATCACAGAACTGCACAGAGCAGCTGGGAATCCTCTGTTTAATTTCCCTTTCTTATCTACCACACGCTTTGCTAAATATAATTACCATAGGCACTGAAAGGTCACTACAGTTAGGGAAATGGGTACAGAATGTGGGGGACCCTAAAATTAATTCATTAGAGTAGTTAGCAAGGACTGGGAGGGACTATTCTGATCAAATTTCATTGGTCCCGAGTGGGTGTGATGGCACAGCCTTAATCCCAGCACTCAGGAGGTGGAGGCAGAGGCAGGTGGATCTCTCTGAGTCCAGCCTGATCTACAGATGGCATTCCAGGACAGCCAGGGCTACACAAAGAAGCCCTGAATTAAAGAAAAACCATCCCTCTGGCCCTGAGATTAAACCATGGACATCATTGAGTTCATATAGAGAGCCCTGGGTGGGCCCAAGGGTTTCAGCTGCATTAATATGTATCAAAACAAATGTGTATTTTCTGAGATGATTTTACAGAAGTTCTATTTTAAATATTAATCAACAAATTTTATATCCATTTAATAGTGAAAATAAATGGTTTCTATAACTGCCTGCTTGACTTCATTTGTGTCTTAGTATCTCTGAGAAGGAAACTTCCACTTAGAAAATTAAGGTATTTGAGTGTAGAGGTGTGCTTTTCTACAGCTAAGTTTTACGTACAATGTAGGAGGGATGTTTCTTGATGCTGTGATCAAATCTCTGACAAGCCAGGACTGAGAGGGGAAGGGTTTATTTTGGCTTGCAGTTTAAAAGGATACAGTCCATCTGGTCTGGGAGAGGAACTACCTCGGGAGAGTGGGAAACAGCTGGTTACATTGTATCAGCCAGGAGTCCGAGACCAGACTGAGACCTAGACAGAACTGGGACCAGACTATAAAATTTCAAGTGCCTCATTTTCATCACCAAGGCCACCAAAGTTCCACTGCCTTCCAGAGCAGCTAGCTGTGAGCCAAGTGCTCACCCCACTAGCC